AATATATTCTTTTAAATGTACATGAACAATTACCCAAATTTTCCATTAAAACTGTTTACGTGTTAAACTGTCCAAAGGGCAAGCAGAGTGATAGTTTATTGGAAAAGTTATTTTGTTAGTAGAAAATATATTCTAAAACAAAAATACAATAAGAATGAATCCTGCAGGCCATAGCAAATGGGTACAGTTAACGTGACCTTAAATTTGTCATCATTGCTGCAGTTGCGGATTCTTTTTCTGAATAATAATTTTAAACAGTGCTCAATGTCTTTCTTTGGGACTTACAGGCATTTCTCTAGAGGCTTCATTGAGCTGCCTGGCTCCACACTGCATCTGAAAATGTGAATTCTGAGAAGCTAATAATAAATCGTGTACTTACTATGTCAAATTTCTGGTGTGTTCCTTAAATTAATATAAAATGAGGTTAATACTAATTTTCTGCTAAAAATCTAGTCAGGGATTATCCTGAAAGAGAAAACTACTAACTGTAGGAAGGGAAGATTTTAGAGCACTGGTGGGCATGTCGTACTTGACAGAAACCATAAAGCTATTTGACTTGGATTCCGCCATTAGGAAAGTCAATAAAATAAGCTTAGTTTTTAAAGGATTACATTCCAGACTCCTTGCTGTCTCTCCCTTTCACAGGCATATTTAACCAAACTGTCTTTCACTGTGGTCAGCCTGTGAGCCTTAAAAATAAATAGTAGTAGAATGGGTGGGAAATGCAGGTGACAACAACATCACGTGCATGAATTGCAGGAAGCTGCAACCCTACAAATCATCCTCTATATTTTAATCTTACTAAGATGGAGACTATCATAAGACTTCATGCTATTACACTGAACATCAAGTCAGTTCTCAGAAAATTTAGCCATTTCCTTGCTGGGCTGCAATAATTTTCTTTCAATGTGCTCTCAATGAATATTATAAAAGCATGGCTCTCTTCTGGTTGAATTTCCAAAAGACAGTACAAAAAATTAAGAGTCTAGGGAGGGACAGTGTAACGCTGATTCCAGATTCAGTGGGCAGATCTTTACCCACCAGAAACTGTCTACTCACTAGGTTAATAATTTCAGGAACGTAAAACATAAAGAGCCAGTACTAAGAGGATCTTAGAAAGTATCTATCAGTGCTTATTTTAGTATAGGTACAGAGGACAAGGCTTAAGAGATGTGAATGACTTCCTGAAATTTAGAAGGTTGTTACAGACCAAGCCTTGTCTCCCAATTCAATGTTTCACGAACTTTGATCTCAACAACAGTTCAAGCAGGCAATTGCTTGGAGGCTACAGAATAGAAACATCACGGCTTTCTATATCCTGTATATTTATGTGCACTCTGTGATGTCTAATTTTACATCACGTGGTTGTAACATAGCGTATGAAGCCGATATGCAAGGCCTATGTGTAAGAGACTCAAAGAAATCCCGAGGCTCAGCGCTCTCAAAAGTCAATGCCTCCATTTGCAGTCCTGACTGTGCACAGCCAGGATACTGCTA